TCTGAGCAGTTTCTGCCACGAAGCTATCTTGCATGCGAGGACTATGGGTCTTCGAACTGTCTTTACGGACCACTCCCTCTTCGGCTTCGCGGATGCTGCCAGTATCCTGACGAACAAGATCTTGAAATTCTCCCTCAGCGACGTGGACCACGTCATTTGCGTTAGTCATACATGGTATGTTGCGCCCTGAACTGTCAACGAGGAGAAGTGACTAATATTGCGTCGCAGCAAAGAGAATACTGTCCTCCGAGCGTCTCTGGACCCCCTAATGGTCTCGGTCATCCCCAACGCCGTCGTCGCCGAAAACTTCCGCCCGCTCGATTACCCGTCTTCCGACGCTGCTGGACAAGCCTTTGGACAGAACCCACCTCCAGCCCATCATCTCGGCCCGAACGATGTGATTACAATCGTCGTGATATCCCGCTTGTTCTATAACAAGGGCACGGATCTTCTTACGGCCGCGATTCCCCGCATCTTGGAGAACCACCCAAATACAAGATTCATCATCGCCGGGTCGGGTCCAAAAGCCATCGACCTGGAGCAGATGATTGAACAGAACGTTCTGCAAGACCGAGTCGAGATGCTGGGCCCTATCCGCCACGAAGAGGTGCGGGACGTCATGGTTCGAGGCCACATCTACCTGCACCCGAGTTTGACAGAGGCATTTGGCACTGTTATCGTGGAAGCAGCGAGCTGTGGGCTGTACGTCGTGTGCACGCAGGTCGGCGGTATTCCCGAGGTCCTCCCGTCACACATGACTGTATTTGCAAAACCAGAGGAGGACGACTTGGTCACCGCGACAGGCAGGGCAATCGCTGCGTTGAGGGCCAACAAGGTCCGAACGGAGCGCTTCCACGAGCAGGTCCAGAAGATGTATTCGTGGACCAATGTTGCCATTCGCACAGAGCGAGTTTACCACGGAATCACCGGCGAGCTCAGTGAGGCCGAGTTTTATGGATTCGACACGGCCAATCCCTCGACCTTTGGCAACAGTCGGGTGCGGTCCTTCGCCCTTATTGACCGACTCAAACGCTACTACGGTTGCGGCATTTGGGCGGGCAAGCTCTTCTGTCTCTGTGTCATTGTCGACTACCTTCTGTTCCTGTTTCTGGAGCTGTGGTTTCCACGGGAGCAAATTGACATTTGCCCTGAGTGGCCGCGGAAAATTGTCGATGATGCGGAGGATTCCAAGGAAGACTGAGTGATACTCCACTTCCCAGGATCACATTATAACCTGCAATGCAATCGGAGCAGACCGATCGCCTTGACAGCGACAAACACAGACTTCGGAAACCTTGCGAAGGTTCTCGTGCCGATGGAGCGCGTTCAAGAAGTTGCAATTTGCAAGACGATTGTCCGCATAGACCGGCGGTGACCGGCGGAAATCGCAGGACATGCAAGGCAGGCCAGGCCCTGCACCCTGATGCTCCGCATGCCCGCTGTTCCGAGTCAGCCCATCGAACCCTTCCAGATTCACAGATCCGTAGTCAAGGCTCGCCTGGGCGCAGGACACAATTGCTCGTAAGTGCTCCTCCAATGGGAGCAGTTCAAAAGGAAATCAGGACGGGGCCTGGGTCGACAACCCGCCCCAGGCTCCGTCAGCAGCCCCGGAGAGCGCCGAAAAACACACGGGATTGGTTGGAATTTCCCCCATGTTGAAGCCCAGTTTGCATCTTTAACGGCTTAGGTCGGTCTAGAGCTGCCTGTTCCGGCCAAGCGCCCGGTGGGCCATGCGACCTCCTTAGCTTCCAAACCCCCACCACGCGCGCATCTCGAAGAGCTCACATGCGCCACGACGCAAGACAAAATCCAACATTTTCCGCCCTCCGGCTCAACTTCTGGTAGCTCAGACCACTTCTTTCTGTACGACTGCGATCATAACCTTTCGCTCAGACCGCCAACGCAACGAGTTCTTCGCAACTACATTCCCGCGATCATCTCTTGCTGTAAGACGTCGACGTCTTACCCTTACAAACCCCTCCACCGTCAGGAACCCCGCGCGCTGGTTTGCCTACCATGGCCGTCGCGCAAGACCTCCCCATGGATCTTCCCATAATCGACCTCGATATCTTCCTTAATGAGCCGCGCGACTCGCCCGCCGTCCGCGACGAGTGTGCGAAGGCTGCCACCGCCCTCATCACCTATGGCGCTCTCGTTTTGCACGACTCTCGCGTCGCGGAATCCGATAACACCACCTTCCTCGACCTTCTCGAGGACTATTTTGCGCAACCTGCTGAAGAGCTCAAGAAGGATGAGCGCCCAGAGCTCAGCTACCAGATCGGCGTGACCCTCGAGAACACAGAGAAGCCCAAGTGCGCCGTCGACGAACCCTGTTTGCAGGTTATCAAGCGCCTTGATCCTCTTGAGCGCCCCCTCGACATCGAAGGCCACGAACCCGACCCGAAATGCCGCTTCTTCTGGCGCATGGGCGAGAACCCACCGTACGAGACCGAATTCCCCGGCCTGAATGCACCCAACGTTGTCCCGGAAGCCCCGCATATCCGCGAGCGCTGGCCGCCGACCATGGACAAATGGGGAACATCCATGAAGCAGGCCGTCACTGGCCTGGCTGAGATGGCGGCCGTTGGTCTGGGCCTCCCCGTCGACACTTTCAGCAACGCCGCCAAGTACGGACCGCACCTCCTGGCACCGACAGCTTCGGACCTGGTCAAGTACGGCAAGCAAGACACCATTCTTGCCGGCTTCCACACGGACCTCAACTTCCTCACCATTCACGGCCGTTCTCGATACCCAGGTCTGCACATTTGGGCCCGAAACACTGGCAAGAAGATTTCCGTCAAGATCCCCGAAGGCAACTACCTTTTGGTCCAGGCAGGCAAGCAGTTGGAGCACTTCACGGGAGGCCTCATCAAGGCGGGCTTCCACGAGGTCGTGGTGAATGAGAAGACGCTCGAGGTGATTGAGCGCCGCAAGACGCAGTACCCCGACCGCCCGCTGGTCCGCATCTCGTCGACCTTCTTTTATCACTTGTCATCTGACCAAGACATCACACCGATCCCTCAACTGGTGGAGCAGGCGCAGAAGGTTAGAGCTGAGCAATTCAACCTGGGCAAGGATGAAGGGGAGGAGGTTGTTTACAAGCCCATGAAGGTTGGGCAGCAGGTACAAGAGTAAGTGAAACAACCCGATGATGTGTGCAGTGAGCATGAAGCTGACTATTTTCCAACAGAGAGCTGAAGCACATTGCCTTGATGACATGACGAACGAAAACTCGCTGTATTAGTGTAGTACTATTAATGACATTTTTACAAACCCCTGTATTCATCTCAAGCCTTGTAAAATTCTTCGCCCTCCGCGACGTCCACCTTCTCCTTGGCAACCCTGTCCACTGCTGCCTTGGGGTCTTCATCACCGTCCAGGTGGTCGACCCAAGAAGTTGTGAAACTGTCGTTCTCGGCAATCAACGCGGCAACCTCGGCGACGGATTCTCTGCTCGACGAACCCTTCACCCCCTTGGTCTTGCCGAACTCGATCTTGCCGGCCGGCGCCTCACTCAGCGCGCCGGGCCGCAGGCTGATGCCAGTAAAGTCCTGGCGCTTCTTGGACTCCTGCCAGAGGACCTCGTCGGCGGCGACCTTGGCCTTGAAGTAGTTGGCCAGCTTCTGGTTGCCCTCCTGGGCGTCCTTCCAGGCCTGTTCGGACCACCAACTTGGCTTGGTCTTGCGGGAGCTGAGGTAGGAGACGAGGATGAACTTCTTGATAGAAGGGGTTGCGACGGCGGCTTTCACAAAGTATATTGCGGCGTCACGGTCAATGGCGAAGGTCTGGAATAGGTCAGCTGTACTCGGATTCGCGTTTTTGGGGAGATTCTAGGTTCAAACTCACTCTTTCGGGGCCACCCTTTCCACCGGCACCTATGACGACTGTCAGCATCCACATGTCGCAGAAATCTCATTTAATAACTGGGAAGATCGTTCAAGTGCCATGACTCGTAAAGACAGGAACCGGAGGGGCAATAACACAAAAACTCACCTGCGCTCCAGACGATGGTATCGGGCTTCACCTCATCCAAAATGGCCTGTGCTTTGGACTGGTCGGTGACGTCCTCAATGCTCCTGACGAGCACGTTGAGCTTGCCGGCTTGGCCGGCGCCGAGCTTCTCGATGGCCGGAACCTGCTCCTGGGCGCGGATAACGCTCGTGACGGTCCATGACTTCTTGAGGAGGAGCGGGGTGAGGAATTGCGAGACCTTGCCGTGGCCGCCGAGGATGAGGACGTGTCTGCTCATGTTGGATTTACTGTATGGCTGGTGATTGAGGTGTGTGTTGTGGTGTTACTCTGAGTGGTGTGTGCTTGTGATCGCGATCGTGTTATTACTGCTGATGCTTTCGTGTGAGTTGTCTTAAGATACTTCCTAACAGCGTGGCAGATGGCCGGCTCAAATACTTTCGGGAGAATCACGCCACGGCTTTGAAATCATAACCTGGATGGTGCTTCCCCGCTCGCGGCCCCAGCGGCGGAACGGCGTCCAAAGACCGATGAAATGGGGTCAAGCCTAGAGGGCAGCCGTGGGGCCACCCGACAGGATTCCCAGCCTGCGTCCGGACTGTCCGATGTGGGCAAATTACTGCAAGATCCCGGATTCGTCGAGTGTTGTGCTGTGCTTTCTGGCCCCGCGAACGAGCATGTTCGGGGTCCCGGTCACGTCACCGGAGCGTCAATGACGTAAATTCCGCGAGCCTATTTGGACTCCTCCCCCCACAGAAGCTGTAGGTGGGCAAATTGCTTAACGCCGAGTACAAGCTTTCGGATTTCATCGAGTTTTTTGCCCTGATGGACAAGATCGTCCGCATTCTTGCTCTCATTTGACGAAATACTCAGCCGCCCATCGTCAATCGTTGCCAATATGTCGTGCCTTTACTGCGCCGTACTGGGCCATTGACGTCGGATTGCGTGCGCTGTGGCTGTCATGAGGAGATGCCTGACTCAAGTTGCAAGTGGACACTTGATTTCACTTGGAATGCCAAGCTTTGTGAAGTTGGACTTGCCTACCTATGTGAACTCCGATCCTCGTTATGTCCAAATCGAGACAATTAGCGCTTCAAGGGGCCATGTGCTCAATATCTATGCCTGACTAGTTAGCCATACATCTCATACTACATACGGCGGGACGGACAACGCTCGCAAGACGCGACGAGCGCAAGTGCAGGTTTAGGTAGCGGGACGCGGCTAAAATATTCACACATCAGCTGAGGTCTTCATCGAGAGACAGGCAGTTTGTGTGGAATGCTGCGTTGTTTGGAATACTCACGAGTATTATTTACCCATCTATTGGGAATTTTGAAAACCGCCAGCGGCTGTAAAGGCTGCAGGCTCTGTCCCGGTAGATGTTGGGGCACGCCTCTCATTTCAACAATGTCTTTCGCTGACGCCTAGCGTTCCCATTTTAGTCTCAAGTCGACGTCTCTTGAAAAAAGACTAATTGCAGGACAGAGGCCTAGAAGAGTTTCCATTCCTAAAACATGAGACAGTTTCGTAAGTTAGTGATGCTCGATGATGTACAATTGCCACACACACAGTCAAGACTTTATATCACCCCGAGAATTTGGACACCATTCACAAAAGTCACTTTGTATCCAAGTCTAGACGTCGTTTACAATATTGAATGAACCCGGCTAATCTAAAGTACCAAAATAAAGCCTTGAACACAGTTGTTCAGCCTTAATGCAAGAAACGAAATTGTTGGAATATCCCCAACCTCAAGTGGCTGAAGGGTGGCAGAGGTCAGGTGACCTCCTTCGTCGGCCAATCAGATATTGAGGATCTGATTGCCCACCCATCAATATCCTCTTGACGGCCACCTTCAACTTCACCTTTCACTTCTCAATAATAAGAACCAGCAATATCACCGTCTTTGACGTCATCGTTGCTACCCACTCGTACGAGCATTTTCCGCATGTGAAACCAACAGAAATGTTCGGCAGTGACAACGGCTACACATTCCTGCTAGTTTGCCTAAGCTATGATTATACATTGTTAGCGCAGCAACAGCAATGCCTAGGAATATTTTCTCACCACGCTAACCTTTCACGCCAATGCCTCAGTTTTTGGGACAGCATTTCCAGTGCCCAGTACAGGGTGTGCCCCACTCCAGGCCCTGGCATTACGGCGCATTATCCATCAGCTGGACTGTTTGGGCATACCCGCACTCTGCTGGCCAGTCGCAAGCCATACGGTTTCTCGACATAAAACATGTCGTGTCCTGGCTAATGATACGGCAGCCGTCATTTTGGGGAGCAGCCACGGCATAGAGGGCGAGCGCCAGCGTTGCAAGAATGGAGGAGTACATCGTTCTGGGAAGCTGAGGTTGGATCGTGGGGCATGTACGGCTTTAAGGTGAATGAGCATATAAATTCACCGGCGGAGTAAGATGCGAAACAGGCACGTTAAGTAAAGGCGGTATTTGTTCTTACAATTACTTATGGCTTTTCTAGATACATGTACCAAAGTCGAGGAACATTGATTAATCGAATACAAACGGATGAGCTATCGCAAAGCTTAATTTTCTTTACGATAGCAAGCCATGCCACGTACTCCACATGAGGCTTCAGAAAACCTTTCCCGCGTAACTAAATATGGTTGCAGTCAACTGGAAAGTATGACACGGGCTTGCATGACTGAGATATCATCTGGTCCCAAAAAGAGCCAAGGCCAAATCTGTCCTTCCTGTGGAGCACCACCAGCAGTGGTTGCTGACCTGGGTAATCAAGTAGGCCTCTAAGCAGTGAGTTCTTCATCTCTCTCTAAGGCCACGGTCGTTGCGATGGAAAGCTTAATCGCCTGTTGGGCTAAGATAGAAGATTGCAAAGACAGTTAACCTCGGATGGGAACAAGGTATACGAGGGCCACGCGTAAACCTGCCACGACTCAAGTATTGACTCCTCGACTCGAGGTGATGCCTGCTATTACCGTATATATGTATAGTTTCGTATGAGAGCCCGGAAGCCGAGTAACTTAAATATACAGGGCTATTGACGAAATGCGCTCGGTCACAACGCTTGAAGTTTGCTTGACGCATTGTTGAAACCATTGGCACCTCCGGTCCACGAAAAAGCCAGAACTCAATAGGAAGTACACTGTACGTTCATCTATCCGCTTCGCTCGCCGCGCCTCTTCTGTATACCTCGGCAGCCTTATGGCGTTTTGAAATGAGCAGCTAGGCGGCGCATTTTCATTCAATAAAGGATGAATGAACCAGATGGCCCCTACCTCGAAACGCACCAGACACTCTACGTTGGGTTAGCAGGGGTAAATAGTAATTATAAGGTCCTGTTTTGCAATTTTGTGAGCGTCGATGGCTCACACTCTAGCGTTGACTCTTCGAGATGATGTGTGCGCTTCTCCAACAATGCAATGTCACCCAGACAAGCTCATCTGACAAACGATGGTCCCTACCTGCTGAATTTCCATTTGGATCGCAGCACGCACTAAAGAAAACCAGATCGACAAGAGATCGTCATCGCAACGTGAAACTTGATGTTTCTTGGAGCAAGCGAGAATCCTTGCTTGGGTGGAACCCGCGATCCGGGGGATGGGGACGAGAATGACGGCAGTACCATAACTGCCTCACTGCGTTATTCTCATGACCCGGCGATGGCTGGTACAGGGTCCTTGATCGACATGTTTTGTACCGTAAAAGACTGCCAGTTGTTCAGCTGCAGGGGCTTCCAAGGAGGTATGCTGAAAATTTGTCGGTAGCGAAAGGTTTCAGAGTCGATCTGGTGATGCTTTGGCGTCCTGAGGGCCAATCTGCTGGCAACCGTGGCGCGGGCAAGGCCCCGGTCTTGGGTCGACAGCCCGGTGGCTTCTGGGACTTGGGTGCGACCGTCTGCACGTCGTCGTCATTTTTGTTTTTTGTTTCCTGGCATCTTTCTAATTCCGGAAGTTGTTCCATGGTCAGGGGGTGGCGAGTCTACTAGAACCACACAAAAGCATGCTGATTTAGGGCAATGCGTGTTCATCACCGCCCTGTGAGAAGGGTCGAGTCGCGAAAGTATAAGGTGAGATGATCTGATCCAGAGTGAGTCGCCGAGGAAATGGTGCGACTGGTAAGATACTCGGTGCGCGTGGGCTTCGGGGTTGGCAGTGGAGCCCCCGGCGTGGTGGGCCCCGTTGCCCGCATCCGCCAACGGCAATAAGACAAAGTGGACTAAATAGAAACAAAAAGGAAAACCTGATCGAGTGGTGGGCAGATTGTTTTCTGAGGTTGCCTTTTCTCTTTTTCTACAATTACCGAAACCAACATGGTTGGGTTCTGTCAGACATGGCCGATTCGGTAAATCAGGCTTATCGAGAAGACCGCGTTGGATATGAGATGCACACTCACATTCATGAGTCAGAGGGTGACTTCCAAGCAGACGCGTATCAGAGCTTGGGTTATATGTACATTAGAGATCGCTTGCTAAAGGAAGGAGGCATGATGTGGCACTAGGAGTTGATACAGCACTTTCAGTATTCCGGAGCCACGTGGCTTACACCTTGCCGAGCGGTAATGTGAGCAAGTAATGAGATCACTCGAGCTGGTCGGAAACGTGACGGACCGATGAGTCAAATACCTCACGATACAAAGAGTGTTCTCATACCGTCTGAGGTATCTCCAGCCATTGATACGACTTTCTCAATTTAGACTGGATCGATACTTGGGACGGATTATTATGGGTACATGACGTGTATTCTCTCACCGCACTTGTGTAAAACCAATGAAAATCATCTTTTCAGCTACGAACGGTAAATCGGCTGACCGCCCAGGAAACCCGACTTCGGACCCGGGTCG